AAAAAAAAAGAAAAAAAAAAAAAAAAAAAAAAAAAAAAAAGAAAAAAATTTCGAGTCGCGCATCTCTTTGCGTTCCTATATGTTCTATAATCTCGCGTCCCGGAGAACAATCGTTGGGAAGCTCTTTTTCTCACCTAATCGAATAACATTGCTACTATGATATTCGATTTTTCACTCGAGAGAGACGTACTGTGTAACACCGATTGTACGACTACCATAACGATTGTAATACTATTTCCACTGATAATAAAATATTCTTTTGATATAATTGTTTCACCACGATGACGAGCGGTCGTTGTTGCCACCCTGCATTATCATCTCTGCCGACGAAACGCTACCTTCTCACCGATTTCAATCAGCTTGAAGTATGATATTAAGGACAAGACTTTTGAGCAACTTTTTCCTATGCGTATAACCGGTGAATGGCCTTTTAGTTTTCGAGTTATATAAAAATTAATTTTTCACGGATGAACGGATTAATGATGATCGCACGGTTATGCTTGTCATTTTCAGAATCTCGTGTGCTGTGCCAGCGACGTGCTGGAAGGAGGTCGGGGAGTGGTACGTGTGGCTGTCACGGTCTCGGAGCTGCTCAGGTTCCATCAGTCACGGTCACCGTTGCAGACCACGTCATCCTCGAACGTGCCGAACCACGTGTCCGCTTAGCGCCAAACGATATAAACACGATGTAATCGGATAAAATAATCTTGTCGACCATGAAAGAAACGGACTCGCGGCCACGTTTTACCCGATCGATGTGTGTACCCGGAAAGAAGAATGGACCCGACAGCAACGTCTTGTCATTCGTTTTTCTAATACTCGAGACACGTGATTTCGTTGTAATAGGTACAGCCACCTAAACGAAAAGACGAGACCACTTCTCGGTCCAACTTCTTCTAGATCGAACAATAACGCTATAGAGGATCGATAATCTCTTCAGATTTTTATACTCGTTACACGTACGCGTCAGATAATCGCGTGTCTGGTCGTATATCGGCGACTTTCTTTAAATCAAAAAAAAAGAAAAAAAAGAAAAAAAAAGAAGAAAAAAAAAGGAAAGAAAAAAAAAACAAACGACGCGACATCAAAAATATTTAACGCAACGTGTTAGACTGCGATCAATCATGACACTTGATTTATTATAGCTGTACGAAACTTTTATATCGGAAAAAAACAAAACGTATCTTTGTACGAGAAAGAAGAAAAAAAAAAAAAAAAAAAAGAAGTAGCAGGAAACTAGGATATAAAGTAGCCTAGTTTCGTAAAAGAAATAAGATATGAACGCGCGAACAGCCGTATAAAGAAAGTTAGTAAATATCGGAGACACTTTCTCGGGCTCGATTTTGCGAGATCTCGAAGCAATGAAAAAAGTTCCTACTTCCTGAATATTGATTATAACGCGTTATCATCATATTTTATAGTTCTTACATTGATATTAAGCCAAGCATATTATCTTTAGCAAGATAATTGTTTTCAGTGATTTCTGAGGAAAAAGTCGTAATTTTACGAACTTTTTTCGTTGTGTTCCACCGTTCAATCCCAATAAAATGTCTCCTATATCTATTAACAGCCTGTATATCCGTGCTTTCTAATAGCTGGTAATTACGAGGCATTTCAATATCGTAACGTGGAACAATAATCGATTAAATCGATCAAATCGAAACACGCGATGAATGATAACGCAATTTTGCACTTGATCAAAACATACCTATTGGAATTTTATCCATATTTAAATTATCTTGCAATTAAGTATCTTGTGAATCGAGCATGCGCTATATAACTAAAGATGAATTCGCGTAGTTTAAAACGAAATCCATATTGGTAAAAATTTACGCGAATCAGCTCAATTATTTCGTTTTACAAGCGATATTTGATTCGTTTGTTCCGCGGTTACTTTAACGATTTAACGTTCCCCTCCAAAGAAAATACTAGGAAGTTGAACCAACCATCTTTAAGTCTCGGAACGATGCATACACAATCTACTGCGGATTAAGTAGGTTTCTGCGCGAACGAATGGTAAGTTAGTTAGTTAGTACGTTTCCAATATAACCGACGATCGATAACAGGCTCGATTGAGAATTTTGATTGTCGGCAACGATCTCGAACGAATCGTTGATATATCATTGAATATCATTCATACTTTTATGTAAAATTAAGGCCTAGGTGTTCACAAAAATGTATATCGTTAACGTTGCAATTTTCTTTACGTCTAGTACGCGATACTAAATTATTTTATTCTTCTCCGTTATTTTATAATTTCAACGCATATATCGAGTTATCTTTTATCCTTGAAACGACAATTCCAGCTACTGCCACGATTTGATAATATATTTCTTGAAACGATAAAACCCCGTTAGGTGCTAAACGTATCATTATATCATTAATTGTAATTTCTTATATTGTCGCAAACTTTGTTCATTCTCTCTTTTTTTTCTTTTTTTTTTTCTTTTTAATTTTTATTTCGTTTAATTTAGGAATGATCGCGTAGAAGGAATTACGAAGGATCTCATATGTCGTGATCAGTAAAGAATCGAGCGATTATGTCTCGATATCTCGTCAGAGTGTTCCGACAAATAATGCGCGTTACCGATCCAAGCTCACCCCGACGAGATATCCAATGTGGAAGATTGTACCGTGTATTCGTATTTATTGTGCCAAAGATATATATTAATTTTTTCTCTCTATTTCTCATCAAGGACGAATCTTTGCAGGTAAGCAACGATGTTTACGAAATAACGTCGAAGAAAGAAGACTACTACGATATATCGAAGATTGTTCGACAAGATTTTGGAGTAATGGAGTAATAAGACGATACGACGATCACGTGCCGCTTCGTCTGTCTATCGAACGTCCTAATCTCCTGCGTCGAATTCCAAGTGGAATTAGACGCGATTCGTCCTTTGATCACGGCTACATTATCGTGAACTGAATTTTTCACTTGTCTTTTTTCGTGAATTTTCCCTCTCTCTCTCTCTCACTCGTTCTCCGTTCTTTCTCCTCCCTTCTCACTCCCTCAACCTCAATTTCATATTTACGTTTAATTGGACCAGCACTTCTCGTTTATAAATATATGCGAATTCGTCAAGCGACGCATCGCTGCGGAATTGTATCGTTCGCTCAAATTATTACGTTCGCGTTTCTCAAAAACGAACGCGCTGCTAAATTGGCCATCGTTTGAAACGTCTCGATCGACTGGCTATCATCGTTATCAGCAGTATTACAAGCAATTATCCCACCGATACAGGCCTTTTTAAACGTGTTCCGACAAAGAATCTCTTCTATCCACCGTTGTGATTATCGTGTTCATCCAGTCGATCAATTCGTATCGAACGCTCGCCCTCTCGATTGATACTACCTAAATACACCGCACGTAATATATTTAAAGATTAACGGATACAGTGTATAAAAAAAAAAAAAAAAGAAAATAAATCGAAAAAAATCGACATACGTTCAAAATTGTTTCCTGTATTGATCCTAGGAGAACCTCGATCCCATTGAAATTTATCAAACTGAAATTCACAAAAGATGGAACGATCTCGCGGTTCTCCATAACGCGTTCGATCTCTCGCGATGGACGCTGGACGAAAAATTCGAGAGAAGAGAGAGAGATCGTTCGGTAGTTGGACAATGAGAGGTCGATCAAAGCAACGGAGAAACGACGTGGGTGGACCATGGTAGGCGGAGTTGAAACCTCGAGAAAACTCCATTTTGTTCGAGGAGGGCGGTCTCGGTGTTCCACCTTCCCCTCTACCAGGTGGTACCACCTTGGGACACGATCGACCCTCCTCGAGGTGGAGGGAACTCGGACGCGAACATTGCCGAACAGGAGTTCGCGATACGCGTGTGCTTGCTGCCGCTTCTCGTATCCGTTCGTCGCGTGGTTCCGTGGAATCCGCGGCTTCGTCATTCTCACCTGTTCCTTCGACCCTTCGTCAACAACTGTCAACTCGCGCGATATTCTCACACTTTCCACCATCGAAACTGATCCGGGACCAACCGTGAGATTCCGTCGGCCATCGATTTTTGGTGATCTTTCGTCGTGTCGTCGTCGCAATTTGTTGAAAAATGTGAAGGAAAAGAAAAAGAAAAAAAAAAAAGAAAATGTGATAGATATTGATTGGGGAGTATTCGATGACGATGAGAAGTATATAATGGACGGATAAAAAAGTATAGAGAAGGATGCATGTAAGGGAGGAAGGAGAAGAAAGCGATGATCATTGATCGACGTATTACGATAAATTCGTCTCCCGTGAAATTCTTCTTATCGAGCGATAATCACAACAGAGGAAAGGTCGAGCGACAAACACGACTCGAATCCCCGAGTTCCATTGAATATTAGGTAACGCGCTACACTACGTATACAAACATCGTGCACGAAGCAACAATATACCGGCACTACTACGATACTGGCACCGATTCTATTAGTGTGCAATGTTACGCGCCGCTGTTAACAATCGCGCCGAGCACTCTCCATTCTTATTCCATGTTTCGCGGGATTCTCAAGAGGATATGGATTCAACCGAATTTCCAAGGATAGTACAATTTTCGGAATCGAGCAACAGATTTGCGAGAATTGAAATCGGAATGTTGTGTAAATTCGGCGAGTCGCGAAATCTACTAATTGAATCGAACTGATTAATCGCTTAAATGTAGGATAAATATCAAATTTCCTGTGTATCCGATCAAGGAGATCGATAAGAATATTTTTGATATTTCATTGAAAACGCGATAAGAGGAGAGCACATGGTCGATTCGTATCGCTTGTGGCGATCAAACCCCACGTTTCAAGTTTGCGTTCGTATACGCGAAACCAATCTGTTGAAATCGCGAAGTTGACGACGACCAAGCGTTGCAAACGAGCCGTCGAACCTCCGCGACAAATGTCTCTCTACGAATCTTACTTTTTTGCGAGCAATCAAGTTCTCCCCGAGCACGAGAAGTTTTCGAAACACGGAAACGAGTGTAGTAGAGCGTATTATATTTAGACTCGGCGATAATAAAAGATCGGGTACCGAACCGAAGTAACGATACCAAAATCGTTAAAGATTACGCGGTGTTTACGATGCGGACCGACAAAAGAACGGTGAAATATCGGTGTACGTTGTGAAAGGGACGTCCAATACATGCCTCTTCTCTTCCCTTCGTCACGATTCGTCGACCAGTGAAAACACGCGCGGCGGGCAACGATGGATCTCAGCACAACGCCGAGAAGAATAACGGAGGGTGTGGCGGACCTTCAGAAGACCCGCGTCGCGAAAAGCGTCTTCAGTATCCGGAGTTTGGTCGATGTCGGGGACACGGATCTTTCCGAGGTCGAAGACAACGAGAAGATACAAAGTGAGTTCTTGCCACGCAACAATATCTTCGATCTTTTTTTCTTCCCCCCTCCTGTAACGTTCCGTACGAAAGGCTTGTTGACGAGATTCCCTTATTAACCGAGGTATATCACGAGCATACATACAATCGTGTATGTATGTATGTATGTATGTATGTATACTCTCATTCTCGTATATGATACATAGAATTGTATGATATTCGTGTAAACACGACTCATTGAAAAGGGATTAGCAACTCGAGTATAAAAGATATCCCCCCTCGATTCGATCGAAGCCTCGTCCAGTGTCAGAAATTCCAGGGCGTCGTCATCGATCCCTCGGAGGCCATTTTTCCTCCCAACGATCGGAAAGAGATCGGGACGATCGATGAGACGAGCGGTTCTAGGAACCGCGGAGCCGTTCGACATTCCACGACCGAGAAATGCTCGTTGAAGAGAACTTTTTTGCGGGCGAGCGCCTTTTGTGCCCGCTGCTTCGCCGGGAACAACCAGTCCTTGTAGAGCAATCGAGTCAATTAAGGCTCACTTATACTCGGTAAATTGCGATAAGACGACGATTAAGTTGAAATTAGTTCCCTGCCCCCCTGGGGCCCGGCAAAAAGTGTATCAATGTCGTTATTGCCGACACGTATCGAAGGTAAATTAATACTCGTTTCCGACCGCTCCAATTAAACGTTACACGAAACGAGCTGGCTTTCTTTGCCCCAACGACGGATTGATCGGACGACGGATTGGTCGTGTTCTCGGGATGGATCGAGGGTTGCGCAGATTTCGATACGACACGTTTACATTCCCAGGTTTATTATCATTCTCAGAGTCTTGGGATTTATTTTTTTTTTTTCGTATAATTTTAATCGGTATATATATAATAAATTGTAGCCCGATAACCGTATCAATTTGAAAAATTGGGCGATAGTCGAAGAATGTCTGTCTACGAAAGAGACATTTACATTTAGCAATGGAGCTTAACGAGTGTTCGGTTTTTCTGTGTATATATATATATATATGTATACCATAATTACGAATTCTGCCGATAGGAATCTAACGTCTAAATATATTTAACGTTTTAAATATAACAACCCTGAAGACCTATAATTTGCATAATGGGTGCAGGCATATTGCTCATTTGCTGCAATAGTGACAACGTAAAAACTTATTATATTTTAATTATCGGATATAGAAATAATCTATATATAAAATTTTTTTAATGATAGAGTTAGATAATGCTAAGTAAGGAAGATAATCAACGTAATTGTTAATAATTTTGAACAAAAAAGAAAATGAACAATTTTTATTTTCTAGATATGTAAACAATACGATACGAACTCATCAACGTTTCAACTTAATAATTCTAAAAAAGAACAACAATTCGAGATGTAGAAAATCAAAAATTCGTATCACGAGCGTGTACAATATAGCGTTTGATTCGTTTGTAAGGAGACACGACGCGACAACGCGTACAAGAGATCGATCCTCTCTTCCTCTTCGAAGAAATTCATTCCTCGAGATTTCGAAACGTGGTTCGTTTCGGAAACGCGTTCGAAACGCGACTCCTAGTCGAGGCGAGTTCCTAGGCTGGTCGATATGCAAAATAGCCGGCGACCGCGATAACTCGCGTTACTCGACTTTCCTCTCTCGCAAAATAAATAGCAAATTACCATTTAACCGTTGGCGATAAACCGAAACGAGCTCAAGCGATAATGGAATCTCATTCTACGGGCATACGGTATCGCTTCGTTATCGGGTAATTAACAAGATAGCGCGCCGATTAACAAATTACGAACGCGGGGTCGTCATCGAGACGGTGTTGCCCTCGCGCGCTTTAGCCATCGCCTATATCGCTTGTCCTTGTCGATCAATGAGCTTTGGTAAACAGTTCGTAATATGACATAAACCCTGAAACGGTTTAACGGCTTGGATAAAAATATACGACGTGTAATAATTTTTAAACTGAAATTTGAAACATTGTACAATTCAGGTTTCACCAACAAAAAAAAAAAATGCGACGTGCACTTATCGTTCGATCGTTAACATCTCCTTTATACGGTTAATTTGATAAACAGAATAAAATTCGATCCGAATAATCGATAGATTTTATAAAAATTAGGAAAGAGATACGAGATCATTATCTATTCTATATTTTTTTTTTTAAGATAAAAATCAACTCGTCATTCGCTTGTATAAATCATTACGATGTTAACTTCCTTTTTGGAAAATATGGAAAATATTATTACGTCAAATCGAATTTACGTAATTTTACGATTGATTTTTACGATTTTAATCGATATGTCTTTTACTTTTTAACAATTTGTCTGGAAAAAAAAGTATAGAAAAATAGTTAACAATCGATTAACTCTTCTAATAGTTAATAATTTAATTCTTCTAATGCGAAAAAATATCTTGAAATTATTATTCGAAAACATTCAAGTTATCGGTTTATTGAATGAATCGTTTACCTTATGGATACGTTAACGTAAGTTAACGATCGTTTATTTCTCCTCTCTAAATTTATCCATATAATTTTCAGAAAACAACGGTTTAAACGATAGAATTAATCGGTCGCTACACACAGGGTTCCTCCACCGTTGGCCGGAAATAGCGACCAATGAGGAACGTCGGCCCAACGAGACTATTCGAACGAGGGGGTGATTCGCGGTCGATTGGCTTGGAGGCAGGAGAGGGTCGTCGTTTCTCCCTAATCGAGTTCACCCTCCAAAAGAGAAATGGCGGAAGTGTCCCCACGTTTCTTCATCTTCATCCATCCCCTGTATTCGCCTGTATCAAACGTACGGCGATTTAATATCGTCAAATATTTCGAACGAGGTTGAGAGGGGCGGTACAACAACAACAAGGAGCGAGCTGATTGCGAAAAAAAAAGAAGGACACCCTTCTCTCAATAATGTGTGGCAAGGAAGCCATAAATAACCAGAGCCGGAGTTTTACGCGTGCGTAGAGGATAGAGAGTGGCGGGATCCGGTGATTGGTCGGCTCGGTAGAGCCGCTAATTGTGTTTTATTAGCGTTCTCTTTCCCCTCGCCGCGAAACATCCGCGATCCACGCTAACTAACCTCCGCCCATGTACTAACTATAAACGACATTGTTATTAAGACTCCTTACGCTGTATCCAAGGGCCACACAACCGCTCGCGTGCGTATAAAACGCGCGTGGACACGCCGCTCGCTACCTCTTCGCTCGCTCGTTAAGGGCTTTTAAGAACAAGGTACATATATATATATATATATATATATATATATATATATATG